TCAAAAGCTAACTCTCATGCCATTCGAAAGAGGATCATGAAAAACCTATAAAAAAATGGTTCATGAAATTTTATTTCGCTCATAAAGCTAAAGTCCGCCTGCTCAAGCAAAAAATGTCCACTGTGTCCTGGATTCGAATCCCAGTCGAGGCGTATTTTTCCTCTATGTATCGTAGATAGTAGAATTGGCAAATTGGTATTATCCAAAATACTATAGAGGACCTTTGATACGATTCTATTGGGAGTCATTGAACGCTACAGGATTTTACAAAACCCGTTCGAAATCGTGTAGTATCAAATCCCAAGTAGTTGCAGTTAATCAGATTCCAGGTGCGTTCATGTTCTTGGCAGTCTTCAGAGATGCAACAATCTCATTATTTAGGACATATTCGCATGCCACTCATATGCGCTAAACTGACACTGTCTACCCTTGTATTTGTGTGATTGAATCACGTTCCTTCCCTTATTAAATCTATATATATAATGTTCAGTGTCTGTCTGTCACCGGTCTGATTCGATAAAAATAGGCTAATCATATGTGAAGTAAGTAGATGGCACCGTAGTCTGTGTGAGAGTAGAACGATAGAGGGCGCCACAGTCAACATGGACTTGATGGAAATGATAGAAGGCGGCACCGTCAGTGTGAAATCGATGGGAATGATAGACACCGTGGACGTGAAATTAGTCGAGGTGAAGGAAGGTGAAGCGATCGAAAGAGTCATAATGGATGTGAAGGAGAATGTGATGATTGAGGTCAAACATCAAGGATTAAAGGTCAAACTGGCTGCTCCTATATTTCTAGAAAGTTCTAGAGATGTGTAGGCTCTTACTGAATGTTACAGAGCCATCTGGAATTTTCTATAGCCTCCTGTAATGATCTGGCAGTTACCGGAGTTTTCTTGAACATTGTAGAATTTTCGGTGACATTAGGCCATGCATGATCCAGAATGTTCTCGAAGGGTCTGCGATGGCATACAAAAAGGTATAAATAGACCCGTCACAATTGCAAACAGACCATTTTCATAATATCAATGATGATCGATACATCAAAAGAGTCTACTGTGAATTGCGAATGTGAAAAGTCAATACCAACAGCATGCGACCCGAAATATACCTCGGATTTCGACGATACTGCTAAAGAGTTTGCAGTCGAAACCTCACATAAGACCCTAACACGAAAGAATATGTCACGAGGAAGAAAACAAGAAACTGATGATGAACAGCGTGAACGACAATCACAGGATGCATCACGAGCAAAAGGACGAAGGGAGCAAAGACTGATCATAAACGACGTCACCGGCAATCAAAGGAACCCATAGATCTCTAGAATTCGTTTAAAGCACATATGGCCGAGGACTTCATGCGCCATATCGATGCCGAAACAGCAGAAGCAATAGCATTCTATGCAATCGAAGAAAAGCTGAAAAAGCCAGATCGAAGCTGTAGTGATTTTGGTATACCATCACCAGCATCTGTTCGTTATTCATTTCAACCAAAAATTATCAACAAGGAAGAAGGGCTTCGAATAGAACAGGAAATGTATGCAATGTTGAATCAAGATCAACGTTCAGCAGCGGATGCAATTCTTGGAGATTATCGTAAACAATCACCAACCGCTGGCTCATGTTTCTTCGTAGATGGGCCTGGGGTACAGGAAACATCTACCTTTATAACACTCTGTATCACTTATTCATAGGACAAGGCGTCCCATATGCTGGTGAAAAATAACGGGTTACAAATCAAGTGTCCGCATGTATTAGCAGTTATTCCGCTTGTTCTAGAACTTAGAGACTATTTTCGAAGGAACTTTCTTAATGTTCGCGAAATGCTCAAATAAAAAAGAAATGAATCTCTGCTCAGACCGTGCAGAAATTTGCTGAAGAAAAAAGGTTAGACGTTTTAAAAACCTTAAAAAGAAATAAGAAACATCTTAAAAAAAACGAAGACAAATTATTCGGACAGAGTCGTTTGGAAATTGTATCGTCATGTTGTTCAAGATGGGAAGTAAATCATCTCCTATAACTAAATAAATAATCTTTAAAAGTATGGAAACTCGCTCACATCATCAAAGATGAATCATTGCACCCTTGAAGTTCGAATGCAGTTCCAAATGCGTAAGGTAAGTTTATACGTTCCTTCCTCAAATGATGAATTATATCTTAAGTTGGCCTGAACGAATTGAGCATCTACACATCATTGAGTGTTGCAAAACACAAAGAATTTTTCCCGCGTTC